TCAGTCACATTGGACACATTAGGAGAAAATCCACAGGCTGCAGTAAAACTCCAGTTACCCAATGCAGAAGAGCTCCGGAGAAAATCCCCCTATCTCTGCCTCATTAAAACACTGATATTCATTGCCTTCATCCCACAACAGTGCTGTCCGCTTTGCCCCTTTACATTCCTTTTTTTTTTTTTTTTTTTAATTCTCAGTCATCCTTCCTCGTTCCACATCTGGTGCAGCTTAAACTGATATTTTTTAAGAAAAGAATGTTCCCTGTGCGCTTACAAGCAACGAGAGCGATTAACTCTAATTAAGCAGACAGGGGAGCCCTTTGGTACCGATTTGGTGCCACGATCAGCTAAACAGAGCAGAAATTTTATGGATACCACAAGGTTAGAAAACAGATGACAAAGAGAGGTCTTCCCACCAGCCAACCTTGCTTTTATTTATTTATTTTTTTTCTCAACGATTAAATTCTAGAAAGTGTGAGGCAGAAAGACAGATGCCAGGTCGCTGTTTGTGGGTAGGAGCTTTTTAAAGTTTTATAGAGCCCAAGTGGTGGTACTTTAAACTAACTGCCTGTGTGTTACACCCCTTCTCCACACACCACGCTTAACCGCTTCCAACACTCTGAAAAAGATGTCAAAGGAGCACGGGGGCTGTGTACATGCAGGAGGGCCGTACCGTGCCCTGGGCTGACCCCCGAAAAAAAGAAATTAGCCACCACCAGCCCCGGGCTTGCACTTTGAATGCTCGTGTTACACTTACTGCTCCTAGAGGAGTCTTATTAGGTTCTCACTTTATTAGTTATACGTGTAGTTATGCAGCTTGTGTAGCTCCTGCTCCGATACCGCTTACATTTGTACCTGCACATTGATTGGAAGCTCAGCCTAGCTGCTCTTATGCACAGTTGACTCCTTGACAGATGTGCCATTTGCCTCACTTGAACTAAAGAGTCTGCTAAGTATGTAAATGCAACGATCATGTAGCGAGCTTCCAGCTTCCCATAACAGACAGCTTGTTTTCCCCGGGACTTCCAAGGAAGGCGAGTCATGGATGGGAAAACTTGCACCTCAGACACCCTAAGAACCAGAGCAGAGTCGCCAGAACAAGAAATCAAGCATTTCTGTCATTGTTAAAAGGTGCCCAGCAAACTACCATGCAAAGTCAATTAAGCCACGTGCAATTTTACACTAAACCTTTTTGCTGGACCCACTTAGTGACGCAACCCAGGTTAGCTAAGGGATATAACCGCACTTGCCCATTAGGACATAAAAATTCCCACCTTACAGCCAAGGCACTTGGCCTATGAACACATTCTCCCTCCGTGCCCACAGTTTCTCTTCAAATCCATTTCAAATACCAGAATTCCCATTTTCCAGTGAATTGTCAATCCCGACGTATGGTGCTACCATTATCCAGCCAGTTTTATTTCACATACAGAAGCAACACCGTCTCCCATGACCTAAAGTTCAGTTCCCAAACCGCTGCGCTACTGGCTAACCGGTAATAACACACATCCAGATAAAACACAAGGCGCTCTAATATGTGAAAAGTAGCTCTATGACTCGAGAATAAGTGCCTAGACTGATATATAATGGTGAAGCCAGACATAAACCTTTTCTTTTGTTTTAGTAACTGTTTTTTTATGTTTCTTTAAACTTTCCAACTTAAACAGCAGACAAGTGAACTGTAATTTGTAAAAAAATAAACTTTATAAAGAAAAATGTAGAAAGTACCATCGCACACATTGTTTCATATTCGTTGTGGTATGCAGATCTTCCCCTCACCATCTATGTAAAGTGTAATTTCATGAGCATTACACTGGAAGAGCAAAATTATTGTGCTGTTCAACTAAAAGAAAAATGGGGCAGTACTGAAATTTCATGAGTAACATCAAAAGACTAACTTAACTTATTTTGCTGCTTCCGGTGGGATTAATTCATTCCTCACTTCCGGATGGATCGACTGAATTCCCAAATCAAGCAGTTTTAATCACATTGCGCATTTCCAGATGCACCCATCATCATTTCCACCCTTCACGTCTAGCAGAGTCCAGCCAAAGTTTTTCAAATACAAGTGTTTCATAAAGGTTTTCAAATGAAGCATCACCGCAAAAAATGAAATGACATTTCACACTTATGATTTAATATTACTCCAGCTTGAAATTAATTTTAATTTTAGTGGAGTTCTGCTGAGCAGAGGGGGTAAGGGGAGCTTTTATGGCAAGTGTTCACCCCAACTTCATCATGTCCTGAACTATTTGAAGCTCAGTGGTACACGCCAGCACCCATCCAAGACTGGGGCCAGCCAGCATTCGCGCATGACACTCAATTAACTGATGCAGTTCTGTAGGAGAAATGCATATGACTCCCATAAATCATAGTGTTGAGATATAATAGTGGATCGCTAACAGCAATGTCTAAGAGGTGCTCCACTGCATGAGCAACACCTACAAAGGGAACCTTCGAACCTAAAGCCCTCAGGGGGACAAATGAGAAAGTGATTGGGCAACCTCCCCCCCCTCCCACCCCACCCACCATTACGAGGGGGATCAAATCAATGAGTCGTCGGGTTTAGGTCGCAAAGAAACACAAGGGGCCATTTTAACCCCTCTGGTCAGAGCTCAGGAGTTTGGCTGTGGTCCAAATTCTCTCTCCTGGGGAGTTTGGGGGGAGCAGTGCACTCAATTCAATAATTTGTCCAAACGTCTTTCACAATTTTCCAAAGGAACCCTTCCTTTACCAAGAATCCTACAGGACATCTGTGACGAATGCCCGATTCACAAGACTACATTACATAGGAGCCCTGTGACCTTGGAATGGCACACCCAGCGGGGAAAGTGTGTTAGAACGACGTTTGAATTTCCGTAAGGAGAGAAACGTGATCGGCCCTGCGGTAGCCAGCATCTGCATAATGTAATATTGGGTTAGAATTCCCATTAACTCTGGCCAGCTCGGTCTAGCCTGCTCCAGGCCTGCAGCTTCAGTTTCCCTAATTGGCTGTAATTGGCTACTCCTGAAAAGCACTTCATGAGGGACCTCTGGCCCCATCGCTCCCACCTTTGCCTGCAGGGCTACACTCAACTGCATGGGTGGCGCAGGTGAGACCAGGCTCTTCGCAGAAAATAAATCGCCAAGTGAAAAAATTTTAAAAAGTTCTCTCATTACAAAAAATATTTCTCCTTACAAATACATTTACATTAATATAAAGTGCAATAGATGAGAGGATATTTCTGTCCTTAAGGGGTTTAGCTTTCACCCCCCTTAGTCTAAAATCTTCAATGCCAAATAAAATTAAAGCACACAAAAGCTGTTCACTGTTTCAATACATATATAAAAAACTGCTGTTTTTCTGTGCATGGTACAAAACATGCTTGATGCACTTTACATTAAATTACAAACTTCTTAAAAACTTATATTCTTGCGAATATGATTTAATGGATGTTCCCTTGGACGATGTTTTTTGAGCTGCAGATGTACATGGAAAAAAAATGTTTTTTTAATCATAAAACCAGTGCCTGTTTTCATGAATGAACAAAATGACCAGTAACAAGCAGAAAGAAGAAGAAAGAGCAAACTGCAATGCCAGGTAGTATGAAATGCTACCAAACATGCAGAACTGTGCCCTAAAATGCAAAACACAGGAGCAACTTCCTCTCTGCACTCACCAATAAATATCCAGTGAAGGCATCGCATTAAAAAGCCAGGGGCTCCATTCTCAGAAAGCACTCTGCTTTGCATCTAGCTAGATAGATAACCACAGCCATGTCACACCCCCTCTTAACAGGGTCTTGTCTTAGGGAAAATGTGGAAGAACACTGAAATGCATACAAGCCTCTTAAAGGTCTTCTTAAAGTGTCCTTTGGGGAGGAGAGAGAAATGGAAACCATTCAAGCATTGTTTTTATTAATAAAAACCTGCCTGAAGAGTATTGCCATCTAGGGCACTCATGGCACCAAACTGATGGCATAAAAACTACTGCATTAACAGTTGAAATGCACAGAAAACTTCTGCAGACGCAAATTTAAACCCAGCAAGCTGTGGCAAAAGCACAGTAGCACCAGGTTGCCGCTTCTCCAGCACAGAGACAGAAACGCCAGTCAAAGCTGCACTACAGCGAGAAAATGCAAAATACACAAAATAATTTCAGATGGAAAAACACTACCGCCAGGCCGGTATCCTTCTGGTACAGAAACAGAGCCACGCTGACCACAGGAAACCACATAATATTAATCATCGTCAGTAAAGGAGGAAAAAGAATTAAATAAAATTCATATTCATGCCCCAAAAAAATGTTAATTAATTGCTGATCTTGGCCTCTAAGGCAAAAGCCCAACTGGCTCACATAAAGCAAGTCCTGATTTCACAGAGAGCATTTGCAAATGTTTAATTCTGGTAGCGAGAATGACGAGTTGCTTTTATCCCCGGCTCCTCCAAATGTGCTCCTCATCCGAGACTTCCTTTAAAGCAAGCGCCAAATTCTTTTTTTTTCCGCCCCCCCTCCCGCTTTTCCTCCGGCGTTTGAAAATGCAGATCAAAATGCAAGGGCTGCACAGAGGCATTACCTCATCTCTAACAAATAGAAATTGATTTTTTTTATATACCCCCCCCCCTTTTCTTTCTTAGAATAATAGAGGCCCAATACATGGAGTGGTGTTAGACAGACAATCACACAGGAGATCACAAGGCCAGGCTGCTTGGCAATATGGGGCTAGAGAAGTGTTTCTCAACCCAGTCCTCAGTGAACCACAGCCAGTCCACGTTTTTGCTACCTCCCAGCACCCAGCCAATCAGGAACACCGAACAGCTGGTACAGATGCGCTGGGAGCTGAGAGGAAGCAAAAACATGGACTGACTGGGGTTCGCTGAGGACTGAGTTGAGAAACACTGGGCTAGAGGGTCCTGCACCTCGTCTAATAGTGTAACACTGCTGAGTAAGAATATGTGGTTTTGCGCAACATTTGTGAAAACAGGAGAGTGGAAGAGAATTCAGCCATCCCTGCTGCTAACCTGAGCGCCGTCCTTCAGTTTTAATATGCACTCCATGGTATTGATGGTAATGACCACAGGCTCAGAGCCCAGCTTGGTCCAAGGCACGTGGATTCGCAGCTCATGGATGTGGCCGCTCAGGAATGTGAAAGGCAACTTCAGCTCCTGCGAACAGAAAAAGACAGCGTCGCAGGTCACAACGCGGGCCCAGCGAATCGGTACATCCAGCAGTTTGCGCGCAGGAAAAGGTAACGACTCATAAACTGCATTGTGTCACGATCGCGGGGCAAGCGAGCCGGAAAGCAGGCGATCGGAGCCAGGAAGCAGGGTAAAATGGGGATTTATTCCAAGGACTGGGACCGGGGAATCACGACAAGTAACATTAATGACGAGTCTGGGGAAGACGGACTCAGACGAGGACTAAATACAAAAGACAAGCCACAGGTAACAAGCCACAGGTGAGAACAATCAGGGCGAAACAGGAGGTAATGAAGTGGGCGTGGCACACATCAGGAGCGGACGGAGCGGGGCGTGACACATTGTTTTACCATTGGTATTTTAAAAAGAATAACCAATCAAAAGCAGCTCACAACATTTTATGGCACAATTATATTTTCTGTCATGAAGACTTATTTGTGTAAGCTGAGGACAAGTGTGAAGAAACTGGTCTGAAGCAACAAGCCAAAAAAAAATGCCCCAAGAAACCATAATGCCTACATAGCTCATTTTGTTTCTTTCTCTTTTTTCTGACCAGAGGAAAATAATCAAACATATTTTCAGGAATGGGCTGATGTAGATTTACTACATGTCTGCTTTAAACCCATATTGTTTCACTAAAAAGGCCATTTATAATGATTTCTCGTTGGATTATATACTGCATCCAAATTTGGGACTATAAAGAAACTACAAAGGGAAAAAATACCCACCAAGATTTTAAGATTGCATTACGCATCCAGAAAATAATATACTCCCACTGTACAATGGGGAAAAACTGCTTTCAAGAAGGATGCCCAATATGTTCTTTGTTTTGTCCCCTACTTGGGAATAGTCAGGAAGCTCTCTGGGGACAGAAAAATCCACCCTAATTCAATTACAGATTTAGGAGAATACTGGAACAAATAATGTCAAAATAATGAGGGTATTCATCCAAGAAATAATCACCTAACTACACTAATCTGTTGATCAGAGGGGGAAAAAATCTCATTACAGTTTATGCCAAATGCACTGGTAAATCTATGTTAAAAAAATATTCAATTGTCCACTTTAATACAATAAACAACAGCATCCCTGGTGTTCAAGGGCATCACATGACATGGTTCTAAGGTGGTGCACTAGTAGTACAAGCAGATCCTTCCCACACTGAAAAGCAGGATTCCACTACCTTAATTTCAAGATTTATTTCAACCTAAATATGAAAGAAACAATATAATCAGAATTAAAGATTTATTAGAGAAATCTTACAAATAAATATAAAAGTGCAGATTTTGTACCAAAACAGAAAAATCCTGGGCTTCCTGCTGCATATATGAAGCAGTTAAAAATTAGAGCTTTTTCTGATGACCTTACACTGGCTGCCCATCTCCTTCCACTCTAGTATGCGACAGCCATCCGGCCCAAGTTGCCATTAGCTACAGCATACCTGCTCCAGCACATCCAGCCTCAGCTCCAGCTTGCTGAGAACCACATCCCCTCCCCACAGCGAGAGCTGCAGGTCTGATGGCTTCAGGTTCTTGATGTAGCGGTTCACATAGCTCATCAGGAGCGGGGTGACATAGGACTCCAACATGGTGGGACACCTTCAGTGCTATCAGGACAAGACAGAGCACTTTAAAACACTGACATAACGCACCAGATCTGCTTCCGTTTTATAGATGGCAGGTAGCAACAGAAGAGTAAACTATCTCCCATATTTAGAAACATGTAGTCAACTCAATATATCACTGTCCCATTACGCTGGATGTCTTGGGAGACGGTTTTATTACTAAGCCATAGCTACTACCTCTGGCCCTACTTTCTTGACATTATTATTAGTAACGTGATGCTATAAAGCTGATCCAAAACAGACGTGGGGAAGAGCACAAGTAAAAGCAGTTTCTGACTGGGTGATTGTGTGGATGTGGGGGTCTTATTTAAACACAAGCATGAAAGTCCTCTCGCATCAATAATTCAGCAACTGACAAACACAAACATACGGCCGGAATACAGTCTTAGTAAATACAACGGAGCGAGTTCATCTATTGGCTTGGAAATCCGTGCTGATAGTTCTACTTAAAGTTACAATGCTCCGTAAATGCATTTTTAATATTCCAGCTATTTTTCTGATTCTCACACTCTCTTGCCTAAACTTCGCTGTCGTATTTAAATAAAGGTGTTTCGGGGTGGCCAACCTTTCTTACCTGAACTAAACTATACGGCCGCTTGTTACCTTCGCGAAAGCTGCGAATCTCCCAGCCTGTGAAACTTCCCAGGCTTCGTTTGTGCAGGACACTGCAAAAGCATGTGAACTGAATAAACTCAGACAAAGAATTTACTAACAGTGGTGAGTTTTTTTTAGGTGAAATATCCATTTTAACCTATAACGCTTAACCAATCAGTTACCTTTAATTTTGTTAATGCTTTAAGCGGCTGCGATGTCGCGAGACACCCATAGCTCAAATCTTAGCGAGTCGAACTAAATTAACCTGACATATTAAAAAATGTACAAGTAATAACAGCTTACATTTAATGATATTCGGATGTATGGCAGCATAATTTAGATACTGCTTACTTGACTACTGTAATCTCTGGTAATTTCTTCCGTTCCACATTGATTCATCCCTTAACAATCTACATAAACACAGACTGAGAGGTAACTGCCAACACAATCGTGAACCTCTTCCGCGTGCGTTTACTTCCGGTATTTTGCGTGATGCAACTTCCTGTCAACTAAAGCGGGCGTGCCCACCGTTAGTAATGCAGAAGTGGGAGATCTATGATGTGGTATACGCATATATATATGCGTATATATATTTTTTTTTTCTTATTTATTTTTTTAGGTTGTATTTGATTCGTAGAATAATTCCGAGTAGTTCTAAGTGGAGTCATTAATGTTAACATGAGATTAAAAGTTATCTGGATAGCCAAGTCAAAAGTTTTATTTGTAATATACACAGTGTGTACAGTCTAATTTTGATGAGCCTATTTATTAAGTTGTGGTCATGTTGGTCGACTACTTTGTTTCCTACAAACGACTTTTTTTCATGTCCAACAGTTCAAAAATGTCCAGTTCTGTATCGAGTTTGGTAAAGAAAAAATAATTGTACTAAAGTGATAAGGTTCGACCAAAAATTACCACTTTTAGACATAAACATTGCTCTGGTTCCATCCATCCATCGTCCAAGCCGCTTATCCTACTGGGTTGCGGGGGGGCAGCCCATCGCGGGGCACACTCGCACACCATTCACACCTAAAGGCAATTCAGCAACGCCAATTAGCCTCAGCATGTCTTTTGACTGTGGAGGGAAACTGGAGTACACGGAGGAAACCCCACGACGAGAACATGCAAACTCCACACACATGTGACCCAAGCGGAGACTCGAACCCAGGTCCCAGAGGTGCAAGGCAACAGTGCTAACCACTGCACCACCAAATTACATGGCCGGAAACTCTAGCTAACCGCACTGAACAAAAGGCTAAACTGCTTAATTATTTTAGAACTTGTGTGTCTTTTATGTTGAAAGAGTGTTTTAAAATATTTGAAAGATTTACTAAAATAACCTAAACGGTTTTCCCCAGGTATATTTAAAATTTGTGCCAAATCCTGCTATCCTATTGATTCAATGTAACAAAAGTAATATTGAGTTTTTTTTCCTGCAAACATTGCCATGTCCATTATCTGTTAATGCCCTCATGTCCTCCATCTCTATCATGATGGCAATGTCAAGTAATTTTTCCCAACCTCAAGTAAACCACCTAACACTTCATTGCCAGCAAGTAGCATGCTGTCCAATTACCAGTTTTAAACTGGTCATTCTATAGATCAGGGGTGGGCAATCTTATCCAGAATGGGCCGTTGTGTGTGTGGGTTTTTGCTGCAACTCCCTAATTAGATTACTAATTAGAGGACTGATTGGCTGAAGAGTCCTCACACCTTGGTTTGAGCAGCCGACCTAAAGGTTACCCCTAAAACCTGTGTACACACCGGCCCTTTGCGGATAAGGTTGGCCACCGCTGCCACAGGTAATTCTCCAACTTCTGATGTTCTGCCATGTTGCTCCACGCGGGCTGCAGCAATATGAAGAGAGTGAAACATTCAGCCTTAAATTCTTACAAACTTTCTCGCTGTGTTTCAGCATCTAGATGATTAATCAATGTACCTAACAAGCTTCGTATGAGTGACCCAGTTCAAAGATAGACAGAAGTGTACATTATGTAAATTATATATCTGTCAATACTTGAAATCCTGTCATGATATTTCTTTTTATAAGCCCCTTTATTTTATCTTGATAACCACTGTTCTTCAACTTAAAGATTAGTCTGCTATCAGTGTGTAATACTTCAATGGCAAAGCACTAAAAGAAGATTAACCTGGACACATTAATCTGCAAAGATGCAGCCTATATGTGTGCTGTGCTTTGGGTGTAAATTGTGCGACTGTTCAGTGACTGACTTGATCTTTTGATCCCTGCAACAGCCAGTAGGGGCTTGCCGGGAAGTGTTCTACAACTGAATTCTACACCAGTTGTCAGTTTAAAAAATTATGTGTAATCATTGTAATTCACATATTTATATTATTATCAGTGTGGATTATAGCCCTTAGTGTTTTTCCTTAAATACAGAATTTGAATTATCATAAAACAGTTTCACAAGATATATTCATAGCATGATTAGTAATTACATTTTGATTCGTCAATTTTATGGTATGATAAATATTGAATAATAGTAATAATAAAATAATAGTTCGATCCCTTCTGGGACATGAACTGATAACCTTTTGGCTTCACATGCATTACATTAGGATGCAAGAATATACGCCGTCATTTTTTTTGCAATGATCTGTGTTTCATTTGACTATATTCTAATGGCCTGCAGTTTATGTAATGCAGCAGTGTCTCGTCTTGCGCTCTAGGTGCGTGCAGCGAGAAGTAAATATTATGGAGTGTCCGTCAACCCAACCAATCCCTCCGCCTCGTCAGATTTTGGATTTTGTTCACCGGGAGGGGGGTCCCCCTCGCCTGAAGGGCTCAAACAAATTTCTGGGGGTGGGGTTCAGGCTGTAGTTTTACTACCTGGCTACGTTCCTGGGCGTTTGGACATAAACGAAATATCTGGCGGGCAAAAACGTCATGTTAATATACATACCAATTGATTAATTCCTGGAGGACTACGTGGTTCCGATCTAGAATACCTCTCAGCATCCAAACAAAAATGTGTTTTCATCACGGTATCAATTCAGTGGTCAAACGCGTAACTCTAAAACTTTCACACTGTTTACAATGTTTAGAGCAATTTAAGTAACACCCACGATCGACTAAACCTCCCTGCCATTATCAGCAAGGAGAACGCTCACCAGAGTCAAACACATAAACGGTCATGTCAAAAGCAGGAAATCTGACAACTCCTATTTGCTCCTTGTTTAAACTCCACTTCCTTGAATTTCCATATAAATAAAAAATGGTTATGGTCTCCATTGCTTCTCAGCCCACAGCTTAACCCCAGCGGGAAAGGTTATATTCATTTTTGTGTGCATTAAGGCTTTGGGGTAGGAATAAAACAAGTGGCTTTCATTTAGCGATAGATTAAATATCAATCTGGGATGGGGTTCACGCGCTGCGTTTCCATCTATGAGTGTCACCGTACTTACATGGTGTTTAAATCTGATATTAGCGAGGGGCAACGTCCTTGCTTTGAAACTTAAATTGAAAGCCATTTATTATTGTCTCATGCCATTTTTTCCTTCCCTTTTCCATTTTTTGGGGTGGCGGCATATGCTCTACCCATCTTAAATCTGAGTGCATTACTCTCAGGCGAGAGCTAAGTTCGTGATTTAGCCTTCCTCGATAATGATAAAAGTACCTTTGTCACATGTGTACATATATTTCCTTCTTTCTCACTCAGACACTGTACAGTTAAGTCCTGGTAATAAATATATATGTTTATATCTTCAATCAAATGTTGTACTTATACCCGCAAATTGAGTCATCAAAACTGTCATGCCACTATTTTTTTCCAATAGCAAAATACAAAATATTATTTTCCAACCAAACAAAATCACCGTCTCATTTTAAAAATTGTACATTTTTAAGTAAAACTGTTTATGTTCATTTTAAACGGCAGCTTAATTGTCGTCAGTATCGGAATGTACGATTAGTCAACAGACCAAAGAGTACGACGGGGTATAGTGAATTCTGGGCACGTTAAATGCACACCGGCGAGCTATACGCCGCTTCATGTCATACTGTGGGGAAAAAACTTGATTTTCACATGTTTAAAGCCCTGTTTGTCGTCATAAAACAAACTCCAGTTGTACATTAATTGTGCATTAATTAGTACCATAGTCAAACGATTATCGAGCATCATTTCTAAAATCACATTTTGATGGCCTACCTGGTAAATGCTGAAATATTTCGTTAAATTTTATTGCATATAAAATATAAGGTTTTCTTGTAAATATGACAATTGTCAGTCTAATTATAAGTGCGCTGAAATTGGATGGTTGTGCATTATGCTTTATGCGGCACAATTAAACACTTTTGAAATATATTACTAATAATAACAATAATAATAATAACAATAGTTATAATAATAAATATTATTATTGTACAATTAACTCGACGAACTTGGCTTAACTTGGACGTTTTTTTAGTGGTAACGCTGGGCAGTTACCAAATATTGAATCACCACGGTTAATAGTTTTAAAAATCAAATTTACGCTATTTTGTTTAATTTATCAAAACATAACCTTTTTGTCGCACAGTAGGCCTATTTGTCGCAGGTGTCCTGCGAACAGTTAATTGGATGGGGCATTACATTTTATGGGCAGTTAAATAAAACTGCTAAAATGTGTCCGCTGACGTTATTCTTTCGTTTACATGAGCTTTAAATTGTGTGTTATCCATTCATATTTCATGATATAATCAATATTTGCCTCGGATGGTGTATATGATCTTATTCATTAATAGGCTTATGCATTAATTAGCTCGATCAATAATTTTAATTTATATTAGTAATAGTAGTACCAACATATTTATAATTGTTGTTGCAATTATGACACTCTTGATATTGTTTATAATTTCCACTTATTATTTCAACTTAATGGAATGCAGTATACGATATTTTATTCACTTTCCTAAATAACAACGAAGAATCTACATGTCGTGCAGTTCCTCATTTCAATCGTGGACGTTTGTTGAAGCGCAGTACTTGAATTAAGGTTTACGAGGTGTGTCAACATTACTACCGCAAAAGGGAACCGAGCGGTTCCTGTTTAAAAAGACGCTGTTGACCGCAAGAAAATAAACCCTTCCTGTGGTAACTATCACAGTTTTTATTTTTTACAGGGTTGTACAGTAAGAATATGGTAGGGTTGAAAATCATGATCTGCATTTCAAACAGGAATCTGCCCTTTACAAATTTCACACGTATAGCCTGTATAACGCCGGTGCATTTGTAGGTCTCTTACTGATTTTTTTTGTACATTCTTAGTAAAAGACAAATTCATCTTGCTCTCTCACTTTAATTACTTAGGCTTATTGGCTGCTCAGAAAATGTTCTAGTTTGGGCCTTCAGAGAAAAATAGCGAAGACGTCCTGTGGCCTACGTAGCTGCGTGTGTTGTGTAAGTTGCGCTTGTTCTTGCGTCCGTTTACTAATCACTTTAACAAGGCTTTTCACATACGCTTTGTCGCCGCAAGAGATTTTTTAACCAGTTTTATATCTGTCTGCCTCCTTTACTCTTCCTTAATTAAGTCCAGAGCTTTTATTTTCACACGTATCTGCGACAGTGAGACGTTTTCGTATCATTGCGTATTCCGCTAATTGCCCCCCAAAATGACCGCGTATCTAAAGCCTTTATCCTGTCACGAGGGGATGGGTGTTAGAACTGGGGACGCTGAAGTCGTTCCAGGAAAGAAAAAAATAGATGTGTTTTGCAGGTTTGTGCTTGGCGGCGCGCTCAGATTCAGTGAACAAAAATGTTAAATGTCTTCTGTCATAGAGGACATAATTACGCAAACCGTCGACCTCAAAAGATATTTTTACATCCTCGGCATTAACAAGTTAAATGAAAATTCTTGGCGTCGTCAGCGATTTCAGCCACTTTTAGAAAGTGTGTAAGATGTTTGTTTTGCATTTACAAGTGCAGAGGGTTAATATTGTGTTTTTCATATAGCCCGTTTTCAATTTTCACAGAAGACATGTAAAGTATTCGATATAATCGTAGGACTATAGTAAAAATACTAGATTATTTTCGACTACATAGTGTACCTTACAATGAAATGTTAACATACTATATACGGAAATATATATGAAATAGGCTTAAGGTAGCGGTGGCTTGCATGCTAATGGAACGTGAGCGGTAAGCATTTTGGTTCTGGTTACTCTTGTCGATCTACTGCTGCTGCTGTTAATCATCAGACAATACGCAGTCACCGATACATATGCCAGCCCCCCGGCGATGAAGCAGAGCATTATTAAAATTATGTTCAATGTTTTCCACATAAATTTATTATTGATGGAATATAATTTAGTTAAAGCCTACTTACTCTATCAAGGTACATGTGCAGTGATTTAGCTGTAAAATGCACCAAGTCAGCTACTACAACTACTACTTATAATAACAATAGCGTCTGGGCGGCCTACTTCTATCTCTTTAGTTAAGTAAACATTCATTTGCTATGTTCATCGATAAGCTTTAAATGTCTTATATACATAGACGAGGTATGTGTTCATTTATCATTTGTAACGACTATACCTTTTTTAGCGTCCTTGTTAATACTAGACCAATTTATTCTCTGCCTGGTTAAAATAGTACTGATTTGGGAAAAAAAAATCTCAATTATTTTGTTACATATTGTAATCATTTTGAAATTAGCGAAAGTAACGAATATGTGATTGATTCAAAAGTGCAGTGCACGCAACAGAATGAGAACATTAAAAAAAGCAATTCACAAATATATATAGGCTATATTCTGAATTAACCGCCAAAACATGACTCCATAACATATATAAAACGAATGGTAAAACAAACAAAATTTCTTGCCTCACAATTTCTGTCATGCTTTAATCCCGATTTACACCCTACAAATAAATATGTCCTAAATGATAAAAAAAAAAACATAAACAGTAACATTGTTGTATATTTATTGCACGAATCTGGAACACCTCGCAATCAACAGCCTGTAAACTGTAAGAAATGCATCCAAAGTGATTTGTAGTCATATAGCGATTCGTCTTGATACAGGTCGCACACTCGTGTTAGACAGGATAGGAAACCTGGCGAACTTTCCGGGAGACACTGAAATGCATCGATTGCAAGTTGAGTGCAGGTGCTGGCGCTTCGACATTGGAAAGGAAAGAATATCTAGACAGCAACATCATATATGTATATATAATTTTGTGATATAAATGTATATACTTTTTACCAAGTGATGTTATTGTTTACATTTCCAAAAAAAAAATACGTAAATCAATAGCCATTACAACTTTACAAATAGGTTTTCTTTATTTTTTCTTCATAAATAACATGGTTTCAGCCAAGCACGTGGTAATTCCCGGAATGTCAGGTGGTGCCCGCAAAATAACTTTCAAACCGATGCAAAAAAAGGTGCACAATTAAGGAATGGTGCTTTAATAATTCCCACCGTCGTGTGTACAGTCGTTTATTATGGGTGATCATTGCAGGTATTCATTCCAAAAGGTTTAATAAAATATGATATTTGTAGTTCACCCAAAAAAGAAACGAACTAAACAAAATAGTACCATTTTCCAGCGCGAATAGTAAACTTTCTTTATTTCTAAAATACAATTTGACATATGTCCATCATTAAACAACATTACCTCTTTTTACATTTTCATTTCAAAGACTAATAAGAAGCAGTATTTACAGAGGATGCGACAGCTTTGGTATTTAAACGATAGGTCGAAAAAAACGGTCACCGGTGATGCTCTCCTCTCCCCTTGTTCAAAGTTCGTCAGTCCATTTCTGAAGCGTTCATAGCGGTCCTCAGAGCATTTGTCTTGTCTTCAAAAAGTCGTTGATGTTTTAGTTCTCTTGTTTTTTTTTCCTTCCATATTTTTTTTAGATGTGGAGCCTTTGTGGCTAGTAGTCCGGAGCGGGAGTATGCGTCAGACTATGCCGTCGCAAGTCACAGTTGCGCCGAAACACCTTTCCGCAGCGGTCACAGCTGTAGGGCTTGATGTCTGTATGGGTGAGAAGGTGAGTTTTCAGATTACTTCTTTGATTAAAGGTTCTTCCGCATGTGGGGCATTTGTGAGGCGATTCCTGTTTAGATTTGAAGCAAGCAAAGGATTATTCCCTTTAATTGTAAAATAATATATTTGTGTTCGTATACACAAAAACACAATAAGCAAAAATGTACAAACTGAGGGACTCTATGAGATTATATAAAAACAGAAACATTTAAAAAAGAGCGTTAAGAATGTGTATTGACGCCTAACGCAATGAGATTCACTCCATTATGACGAAAGAAAATGTGCACAAACGGCTTACCTGCATATGTAATGTTTTGTGGACGGCTAAAGTTCGAGACTGGCAAAATCCCTTCCCACATTCTTGACACTTGAAAGGCTTTTCTTTGGAATGGATGTATCTGCAAATCAACACACGGATGGGATGCAATCAATGTTTTGCTAAGTTTGCGCTTGTTTTGTAAACGCTGAACGGAGCATTGCAATAAGAACTTTTTATGGGGCCGGTAGTCGAGCATTACTGGGCTGTAGCGCCCTCGTCGAACGCACCAAAAACTACAGGCTGACCCAGCGGAAAATTGATATCCCCGACCGACTAAAATGAACCTCTTTCCCAAATACATTGCGTTTTTCAGTTTTTCTTTTAAATAACTGTCAGTGACAGCAGAATTTAATTCATTTTACGATTGCATATGTGTGACAGCATAACATTAAAAACAACACAATAAAAGAGTCATTACTATAACACGGGGAGCAATTTCACTGGCAAATCTAACTCTGGTTACTTCATACTAAGGCTACAGCCGTAGTCATAAAGTCATAAATGCGACAGCCTTTTTCAACTCACCTATGGTCTCTCAGGTGATCTTGTCTTCTAAAGGCCTTGTGGCAGATATCACAGGTATACGGTCTTTCGTCGGTGTGGGTTCTTTCGTGGATGAGCAGGTTGTATGATTTGGTGAAATGCCTGCCACAAAACTTGCAAATAAATTCCTTTTTTGTCTTCGACGGCAGCCTTCCTCTCGTCGGTTTTCTGTCCGGGGACAGTTTGTTTAGCTCAGAAATCGTGCTCCCGAGGCCAGCAGTCAGCTTGGAAATGTCCCCCGATTTAGGAGGGTCCTCCTGGGTGGCTGCTATGGCGAGGTTGGCAAAGTCAAAGCGCGGCCTGTCTTTGTGCAGGGACGGGATAACGTGAGCGATAGCGCCTTGCTTCGGATGGAAGAGGTGCGCGGCAAACGGCAATACCGGCAGAGGAAACCGCGGATCCACGAGGCCTTGGGCACCTGCCATTTCTGTGATGGTTGACCTCAGTCCCTGCATGTGCGGGTAGGCCAGAGTCCAGTGGTTCATGTGCATGGTTTGTACAGCACTGAGACCGTAAAGTCCCTGCAGCTGATCGACTGCCGCGGGAAAGGTATTAACAGCCTGGAGGAATGAGTAGTTGGTGAGCTGAAGCGACGGGTGGAGCGGGATCGGCGCCGGTAACGCTTTACTTCCCATTTTCAGCTTCGCAGACGAACCTCCTGCTGAAATGTCCTTACAGTTCCTGGGTAACAAAATAAATTAGTTAGCTATTACATCATTATGTAGAACGTGTCACCATTTACAGGTCTGGTTTAACATGACGTGCCACTGAACACAACATTAACATTAATGACATACGACACATAACATAAGAAGTTAATTTCAAAAGCAAATAAGTAAAAATTACAAACCGCAAGGAAACCAATAGCCAATGAAACAAAAATAACAGCATATCTGGACACGCTTCTCTAATTAAATACATTAGTGCGTTTATCAGATAGGATTATTAGCCAATGACATTATAATAATCACCATTTAGGCCTAATTTTTCTTTTAAATCTTTATTTAATTTCCATGCCTTCAACATTAATTTATAGACGAGGCCCGTCCAGAAGGCCAAAATAAATCGTTTGTGGAAATTGCAACATTTAAGAAAATCCGAAAAAAAAAATAATTCAGACGTAGGCCTAAGGGTATTGCGTAGTTTCCCCGCTATTTAATAGGGAAATGCAATTTTTGTAAAAACCCATTACTCCACACTCGGATGAAATAGTCTATTTAAATTTAGTTATGGAGAAAGACATCTGTCGGATGCTCAGCATTGTAAAGGTCGGTAGGTGCTGTTATAAAGAGCACAAATTAATTAATGAGCTCGTGTCTGGAGTCTAATGGGGGTCTGAAGCGGCGCGCAGCGCTGTGATTTTTCTTAATCCAGCGGCAAGTCATTCATCAAGACTGACGAAGGAGAGAAAGGAAACACCTCCCCGGCGGTACAGAGCGGCAATTAAATTAGGCCGACACAATATGATGTGTTCCAGGTGGGGGGGACATTTCAAAAAGTCCCATTACACTTTTTTGTGGAGTTAAAAAGCACTATCGCCTTGCAAGTAGACAATAGATTACTCAGAGAAAACAACTCCCACGTAAAGTTGCCTTTATACAAGTAAAACCTCCAAATGTGTCTATGCAAAACGAAATTTCGATTCAGCTTAATTTTACGCCCTATAAATGGCAAGCGCGTGTATTGTAATAGACGCCATTGCAGCAAAAGTTTTCAATCCTAATTTTATGGTACCTCACTGTTGTAGGCCTACTTATATTTTGGAATCAGTGTCGGGTCCAGTAATAATCACTTTCTGTTGTTTCTGTTGGCAGAGAAGTTAATTACTTATACATGTCGGACCATGCATGTTTTATCGGAACTGCAGTGACATGGTTGTTTCATAAATGCTGTCGCACTGTACGTCGCTGGTGAAATTAATTTGCAGCAAAATAATGCAGCCGTTACTGACGTCCTCCCGCCAAAGATTTTTTTTGTCTTCGGCGGCCTCATGGACTCGACACCATACCGGTGAATTGAGTTAATGAGATGCGGACTGTCTGACAGGTCCTGGGCTTCATGTGAGCTAGTGGAGCGGAACAGCAGATTTAGGGTAACACGTTTCCACAAGTTAACTCCACCGCTGTAGTACTGAATACATCTATCCTTTAATCTGCTTCCCTGACTCGGAATTACCTAAAGCCGACAACTAAAAACTTAAACTATTTCGTATGAACACCTGACAAAGTAAACCACCGTTGAAAGTTTGCAATTGAAATGTTTTCTTAAACATGTGTTCTTGATAAACTACCTGTCCTATATATTTATTCTGGTTGAATATAAGCAATGGCTCACTCGTATCTACTGTCAACATTTTAGTGTCAGGGTTATTAAATCATATACGTTTCGAACAGATGACATTTCATGGCACTTCAAACGAGCATGGATTAAAGTGCCACGCAAAAGGAACGATTATGTTGGTGACGTAAGATTTATGAAACATTAATTCAGGAGACTGTAATTTACTGTAACTTACTTTTGCGCTACAAGTTCAGCTCAGTAACTCCCACGAAAGCTGCTACAACCACGTTCTGTTATTAGCAATAAATATTTGCTTATTCCTCACGGTGTGCATGACCACACATGATACTAAATCTACTTTAGAAATAGAAAATTGTTGTTAAAACAGTACTACTTAGTTACAATGCGATTTTGTCTACAACCCATGTTAAAGTTACGTCAACATTTACAGCTCTTCCTCCAAACGCTTGACTACAAGATTTAGTGACGGAAAAGTTCTGAATTAGAGTTCGCTTCACTGAAACGGCAGTTCTTTGCATGTAATCGTGAATGACGGTTTGTCTAAGGTTTGCGGGCTTGGTAATTTGTAAGCGTTTGACAGATGTATTGATTTTCGTCCCTCTTGCCAGTTTTATTGAAGTTACACGAACTCTAGATTTGGTGTTTTCTGTCAGGTTAGCCTGCGTGTCATTTACATAAAAAGCTCACCTAATTATATGTTTCCAGTTTTTAAAATCGTATTCGGTTATTACGCTTCTAAATGTAATATTCTTGTTACATTCTGCAATTGCACCTTGTTACTTGGTAAAGAAGTTTAAGTAGAGTCCAGTGCTGTGTTAAACAGTATCCACGCATATTTTATGGGGCAATGTTAAACATGCATTTACACATTTTTTTTATCTTACCCCCAGTAAATCGATGCAAAAAGTCGACGGCAGAGTGTTCTGCAGTCTTTCGGTAATCCACAATGTCTACGGTTAGGCGACGAACTCCAATTAAACGTCAGCAAAAGCCTTCCAAGTTCTTCCATATACAGTTCATGGTTGCTTTTAAAGCTAAATACTCTTAGACGTTAGACTTTGCACATGTTTTGAAAGGAATAAAAAAACAACAAATTGGCTCAGAGTGTAGAAGATTACATTTGCTACAGGACTCAAGACAAGACCAACAGAGTCGCGTGCTCTCTTTGAGTCGGACTTGAATGCGAGCTGTGGGCTGCAGGTCCTTCACTTTTTAGGGCTCGGGCACTGGCTTAGCGGTCCCGCCCTAGGACACGCCCTCTCCCAGTGATTAACTCCAATGCTCTTCTCTGTTTATTTGTGTTTGGATAGCAACTACAATTCGAGGGGACATCGTTCAGCTCAGCTTGCATCTGACACTTTCAAATCGCCACTTTAATTTTTTTTTTCAGGATTCGGCTTTGCTGGAGAAATGATAAGATAATCAAAAAAAAAATGTCTTATGAATGACAGCTCATTTCCATTAGCGGATGTTTAAAGTTTCAAGGAATTGTTCATCATGAATTACTTTTTTTTGTGCTTTACAAATTAAGTGCCATAGGTTCTAAAATCGTGTTTTAGCGTTTTCCTTGGAAAATAATTTACAATGGATGTCCTTTGTAGATTCTTGGACTATAATGTTATTGTCTTTGCTTGTTACTACCTAAAACACATTGCTGTGTGTGTGTATGTATGTGTGTGTGTGTGTATTTGCACATTTATATGTATATATGTATATATATATTTTTTATAAGCGAGTATAGCTTAATTTATTAATTTATTAATTTCAGTATTTGTTGTTTTTTTTTAATAAACCTACGACAAAAACCAAAGAGCTTGCGAATGTTTGAAGACACGATCTTTGCAGAATATTTATACTGATAACTATTTTATTTCACCTCTCTATCTTTGCAACAAAAATCCTTTTATCGTTCATTTGCATTTTTTTTTGTGGCGAGCGTATGTACATATTATATACACGCACAAATAACTTTGCGTGTTTCTTCCATTAAGAGCAAATTTGTTTTACAAAAAGCATTAAAGGACACTAATAATAATATACTTTACAATGACGTAGAATTCTCTGTGCACAAATAACACATACATTTCAAGGTTTATATATATATATATATATTTAATCACTGATCCGATGCAATCAATTAAACGTATATGGTTTTCTTATTAATATAGTTAGTCAAACATAAAATTGTATGTTTGTAAGATGGTGATTGAACATTAAATTGAATTTGAGGTCAATTTCATTGAGATTATGGGAAACATTTGGAAAGTGTTTACAATGTACGAAGCATTTGACATTGCGGCATTTTTATTATTTTGTTATTTATTTAATATGTTTGTCGTCAGATTAATTACGGCATTGTTTATAATTAATTAGAATACATTATGGAGCTTAAATAAAATTAACAAGGCAGTGAGAGCTATCGATTAAGTCAATATAAAATTACATGAATAACATATGGAATATTAAAGCATTTAATGTCAACTAATTTGTGAGTTGGAAAACGGTACTCCAACACACATCGCGAGGGAAATAAAACCATTCATTTAGTTGTGTACAAATGTTAATGTGGTATTAAAGCACATTAAAATAAAATAATTATAAGAATTACCTATAGATGAATTCTTGTTTTTGAACACACTGTAAAATCTTTGTTAATCAATTCCGCGTTTGTTTGCAGTTCTCGCTACTTCTGGGTGACTAATCAATTTTTGAAAGGAAAATCCAGAACGTGCCATTTGCTTGTGTATCAAAAAAGCCTGAGAACCCTATGTAGGGATTGTTCGAGTTTTATCACACCTTTTGAACGATTCGTCTGCTCTGATGCATAAATTAAAATTGCAGGGAATATGAAATCTGAAACGAATGTGATTATATTGGAACATTTCTAACACGAAATGAATGTCTAGTTCATTTAAAGCAAAATGCTTTAGGAAAGATTATGAAATATTCATTAAATGACCAAGATTAAAGAACATACAATCAGTTGAGCAATGTCTGTTCTCACCGAGTTGGCTGCATATTGCAGGATTTCGAATGTGGCATAATTTGTAAGAATAAGATTCCCAAAACGAGAGCCATGCTTCATTGTGTTTAAAATGTAACGTCTGATCCAAGGTACATTCCTCAGTATAAATTGCTAGCTGGTAAAGGATGGAAGCCGAGCAACCTGCAGCAGCACATCTGTAACCGGATTTTTGCGATGACCGAAAATCGGGTATATAGCGCCGCCTACCGACGAAAAAAGAAGAAAAAACAAGCAAGGAATGAACTATTTTTAGAGTTTTTTTTCTCAAGAGACATCGTTCATGTAATTTCTGTTAAGATTTGTTCGATCTCCATAAAAGTGAAACGCCATGATCATTATATAGTCCGGTAAGTCAAACTGCTATCGTGTTTAGAAGTGTAACTCATAGTGATTTTTAGACCTTTATTTCGTTTTCTACTAGGTACTAATTATGTATGTTTATTAAGAAAAGTCTTTGATCGATGTACCATTTGGTTGTGTGGGTGTGGGACAATTGAATTTAACAAAAGAAACAATAATAAAAGTATGTTTTCTGTGTCCATAAATAAGTTCGTATATAAAATGGATTCTATTAAATAAATATATTTTTTCTACAGCGCCTGTCTGGTTATAAGCTTAAACAGTGAATTTAACTTTATCATTTAACAACATTATGAGTAAATACATTCTTTTAAATGGAAAATAGTTTATGCTGGTTACGACTTTAATATAGGAATGTCAATTTATTGCGTTTAATGTAGCCTTAATTAATGTACCCGTTCCCCATTAAAAGTGAATCGATATATTTCGTGCTTCGGGATGTGATCGTTAAAAGTTTCTGACACAAGACACGGTTGAGTCCTGTAATTTTCATGTACAGTACGGAAAAAAACACAAACCGACATCAATTGCTCGGAAGACCTATAGCTAAATAATATCAAAAATAAAAAAAAACTTCCATGAGCGACGTTCGTACATAATTCTTACATGATGGGAATTTTAAAACTGTAATTGAATTCTTGTTATCCAGATACAGAAAAACGTGCGTAGCTGAGACAAGAGTACTGCTAGTGTACTTTAAATTGTTTGCATGGTATCGTTGACGTATTATAGAAAAGGAGAATATTCCATTCCCCCTCCTACGCACAAAGCATTGAATTATTTTTAATCTATTTGAAAAAGTATGATTCAGTTCAATTGAAAAAGGTGATATGACGGTCATTTTAGATAACAATAAGACGTGCTGTCTCATGATAATATTGTTGCATTATATGGCATTTTGTTTATATACATTCGAGATTATGATATTATCCAACCAGCCGTCTTATAACCTTTTACTCAGTTCAGAGAGCGGAGGTCTTATTCTTTGATAAACTTAACAAGTAAAATTCTCTTTATTTAAACACATTATTTCAGTTACCTGAAAATATGAACAGCCTTTACTGAAGTATTTGAAAAACCTTACACAGAACAAAAAAGGGAAGGGGGGGGGGGGCGAACTTTTGTATTATTTGTTAAAACGAGGCGATTGTATATAATGCATAACATAGCATTATTCTGTTTTAATATTTACGCAGAGTATAAGAGTTCAGTTTCAGCTTTCAGTGTTCCGATGTTACAAATAAACTATATTCATTAATCAGGTAATTTGATGCAACCGTTATTTAATTAACATCATAATACAACAAAATATGACGTTTATCCTTGACGAAAAGCCTGCATTACAATAACAGATACCTGGAGAATTTTTATTTTATTTTTATATATTTCTACACATTACATATAGTTATTATACAAGGTAAGCAAATGGTCTGTATTTTTAGGCATTTAAGCAAAAATGTGAGGTAGGTAGGAAGTGATACGTAAAATGTTTTCGACTAAGTACTACAAATGAGAAGGTATAGATACTGGAAAAGAAATCTTGTTTAAATAAACAATAGAAAAGTAGTAATGATAGTTATGTTCCATGATGCAAGCTGATACCCAACATCCGTTCGAAACTACATTTCAACTTTGTTTTGATCGCAGTAACATTTACATTTTTACAAATATCGAAAGCAATATTAACCTTTTCAACGTGCACATTACGGCACCCACCGCCCAGCTGCTTGCGAAGATGAGCGACGTAAAACAAGATTTTAGGGTTAAAAGAAACAAGTCATAGCGCAATGACATGATACACTCCCGTTCACCGTTTCCTTATAACCTGTCTGCCTAATGTCATCATCTTATGTTAGCCTATGTGTTTTACAAGCATTTAAAAGTAACAGTCAACACACTAAAACATGAGTGGAATTAACTTGCGCGTGGGTCATCTCAACGCGATCCTATCAGACACCGCGCGCAGCACATTAACAAAACTTTAGAAAAGAAAGGTCAACAAAGATGTATAGCGGAAGATTCAGAGAGAATTCCCAGAAATATTAGATGGTTAGACTGCTGAAGTTGCGCTACACAGAGTATATTTGTCTCGCTCCAGAGAGCAGACACGCCCAGGCACTCAGCCTGACTACGCGCTAATACCGCATCCAGCCCCCTCCCAAATCTGTAACTGCAGTCGCTGAGCGTGTGGGTGACCCTGGACGGACCGCAATCTCTAATCACAGACGGACGTGACCGCTACCATCGCCCCCGGAAACCCGATCAATCAAACCGTTCTCTGCAGATGACGTCGAGCTTCCGCAAAAATTAATCGCACACGCAAAAAAAAAAAAAAAAAAAACGGGCACGTGAGCGCGCATGCATATTAATCGATACTAATTGTTAACATGAACTTTGCGAACAAGCTAAGACCTAGGCTAAGAGAACATGAAAATTTTGCTCTGTCGTTTTTTTTTTTGTTTTTTTTTTAAATTGATTAACCGTAGTAGCCAAATCTGCAAATGAAGAAGTCCAGGGTCCACTCTGTGTACAATATTGTTTTGTTGCTTTTTTTAAAATATAAAACCAACAAAGAATATTATATTAGATAAAACCTATTTAAGTACCAGCTACAGCTGCAGTCATCCTGAATGCGTGATGCAGTAGGCATTGCTCTGTAATGTGGTGCTTCTCAGCCAATAGCATAGATGGTACCTGCAACAAAACCACCAGCCCTGGGGTATGATGTATGAAGCTCCTCCGCGCCCACTGTACACGTAGGGAGATTCGGGTACATGGGCTCGGAGAAGCGAAGCTTCCGGCTCTGTCGTGTCCCAATGCTTCTTGTCCACTGCTCTCCACTTGACCCATAAATAATCCACACAAGGTCTATTTAAATGACCGCATTTGCTTCCTGTTACTCTTATTGTTATTCTACTAAGGCTGGATGGTGACAGTTGGGTGTCAAAGCCACATCGTGTTTTGACGACGTGATGCGATGAGGCCTTTACGCAGATGATAAAAAAGAAACTAAAATCTGGCAGGTGAAATTAGACCGTCCTCAATACACTCTTAAACGTTGACATAATGCCATTTGAAGGTGCAGACCTGTTTTTAATAATGATTCATTTGCAGTTTAGTAGATGGTAAGATTGACTTTTAGGATCTGAAATGAGTTAATGTCACTTTCAGTGACGAGAAACCAAGAATTTAGGATGTGGT